TTGGAATCAAATAGAAAACTAGAAAATGAAACTAACATCTTACAACCACCTAAACTTCAATAAACCAAACAAGAACATACACTGGGGGAAAGACTCCCTATTCAATAAATGGTGTTGGGATAACTGGATATCCACATGTAAAAGACTGAAACTGGACCCGCACCTTTCCCCACTCAAGAAAATTGATTCAAGATGGATAAAGAACTTAAATTTAAGGCATGAAACAATACAAATCCTCAAAGAAAGCATAGGAAAAACACTGCAAGATATCGTCTTGAGGAAAGACTTCATAAAGAAGACTGTCATGGCAATTGCAACAATAACAAAAATAAACAAATGAGACTTAATGAAAGCGAAAAGCTTCTGTACAGCTAAGGAGACAACAATCAATGATAGACAACCTACATAATGGGAAAGGATATTTGCATATTTTGAATCAGACAAAAGCTTGATAAAAAAACCCCAACAATCCCATATTATCAATGGGCAAGAGAAGAGAACCTTCTCTAACTAAGACAGACGAATGGCTAGCCAACATATGAAAAAAATGCTCATTATCCCTAGTTAAAAGAGAAATGGAAATTAAAACCACCCTGAGAGATCATCTAACCCCAGCAGGAATGGCCCACATTCCAAAGTCTCAAAACTGCAGATGCTGGCGCGGATGTGCAGAGAAAGGAACATTTTTACACTGCTGGTGGGACTGGCAAACTAATACAGCCTTTTGGGAAGGAAGTATGGAGAAACCTCAAAGAACTCAAGCTAGACCTCCCATCTGATCCTTCAATTCCATTACTGGGCATCTACCCAGAAGGAAAAAAATAATTTTATCAAGGACACTTGCACTAGACTCTTTATCACAGCTCAATTTATAATCTCCAAAATGTGCAAACAGCCTAAATACCCCCCAACCCAGGAATGGATTAACAAGCTGTGATATATATAAACCATGGAATATCATATGCCATAATCAGCCATTAAAAAAATGGAGACTTTACAGCCTTTGTATTAACTTGGATGGAAGTGGAACACATTATTCTTAGTAAAGCATCACAAGAATGGAGACACATGAATCCTATGTACTCAATTTTGATATGAGGACAATTCATGACAATTAATGACATGGTGGTGGGGTAAGGGGAGAGCAGAGGGAAGGAGGGAGGGAGTGGGGTCTCGGTGTGTGATACACCTTTTGGGGGCACGACATGATTGTAAAGGACTTAACCTAACAAATGTAATCAGTGTAACCTCAATGAATCCCCAACAGTAAAAAAAAAATGCCTATCGTTTCATGAAAGTATGAACTGAGTTTATGAGACAGAAGATGACTAATGAAGAATACTCTTTGCTTTCTATTGGGAATTTTTGTTTGCTTCTAGCTGTTTAATTCCTCCTCTGTCTCTTTCAATTACCCCCCTATTTGTATTCAATGAGATGGCATATAATATGGTGAAAGAAAAAAATCTCGCTGATTTATGAGTATTCGTTCATCAAGTAGCAGCTTCTTTCTGTCAGATGTAGAAGTGTTGAAAATGAAAGGAAATGCACAGCAGTTATTAGCCCCAATGAGAAAGCACACCATGGCTTCCTGGGTTGTCTGATCCTTTGCTGTGGACATACAGACAGGTAGTAAGTAAACAACAGAAAAGCAAACGGATTTCTGTGTGCCAAAATTTGGACCAACCAGTTCTAATTGTATAAAAGAATCAAACAATGAATTAAAGGTTCTATACATCTTTTAAAAGGTTCACATCAAGATTTATTTTTAAAAGAGGTGAGTCCTTTATTTCCCACATTGTTATTCATATGCAGTATAAAAACAGCAAACTAAATAAAAACAATATAAAATGGAATTGCTATTAACTACAGCAAGATAGAAAAGTTGCATTAATAATTAAAAGAACTGCTACTAACAGAAATCCTGTTTATTCCTAAATAATGAGAAAGTTAAGAACTGGTTACATAAAGAACACTGTTATCCATGTAATATTGCCAAGGTCAATGAGGAAATCAATAAAATGATTTGTTGAGTAGCTGCTGGCAAGTTAAACCTGCCTACAGATAACTCTGTGGTACTCTTCCTGGTTTTCAAAGTGATATGCCCATGTGTTTGTTGTACCTCCTAGGATCTGTATAGTCAGATATATTAACTTTTTCTAGAATCAGTTCACTTCTGACTTGGTACAGGGGTGGTAAGGTCACAAAGATGAACGAATAAGATCACAGGAATATTCTTCCTGGCCTGCCTCTTGCACATGGGCTTTCGGGACATGGAGCTATTTGGCCACAGGTGTATTCCACTGTCCTCTGTACAGCCACAAAAGATATTCAAATCCTGCCTGTCAACTTTTTCCTGCTTTAATGAAGTTCACGTATATAACATGTTACATTGCCCCAGGAAGCCTCTCTTAAAGAGGAGAGAAGAGGAAACTGCGTCCATGCAGATAAGCTGTGAATACATGCTGCTGACTCCAGTATCCCCCAGCTGTGAGCAATAGGCTCACATCCAACAAGCCAGGCTCTAAGAGTCCCCTGCAGGTGAGAGTTACCCCAGCAGGCCTGATCTGTAGGATTTTGGAGGGCTGTCCCTTGGCTGGCATCAGGGTACTGGCTGTTCCCTATACTGACATGGTTATTTTGCCCACACTGGCTTTTATGAAATGCTTGTCTGGAATTGTGATGGCTGTAGGGGACAGAGGATACCGCTTGAGCAGTCCCAATAAAAACTTAGACTCTTGAAGTCTTAAATGGCTTCTCTGGGCAGAAGAAATAATTGCATGTTGATGGAGCTCGCCGTTGGAAGAGGAGAATGCACCATGCGATCTCTCCCAGTGGGAGAGAAGAAACTCAGCAAGCCAGTGCCTGGATTTCTCCATACTCTGCTCTTATGTGACCTTTTTCTTTTCTGATCACAGTAAGAAACCGTAGACTTGAATGCAACTACCTCTGAGTCCTATTAGTCCTTGTAGCAGGTAACCAGTGTGGGGTGGTAGTGAGACCCTTGAAACAGTTGTCAAGGATGTCAGTAAGATGAGAAAAAATATATACATGACACTTGTAATGATATTATTGTGACAGTTTATGATGTATGTGATTTTAATTTGCCTATGACAAAATTCCTGGCTAACCAATTCCCGTAAGCAAAAAAGTCAAGTATATCATATACAGTACTTACAGATACAATGGAAGAAGAAGCCTTTAAAGCAGCAGTTCTCAACCTGTGGGCTGTGACCCACGGAGCTGTATTAAAGGGTCACGGCACTGGGAAGGCTGAGAACCACTGCTTTAAAGACACCAACATTCCCTCCAACAGCTTTGTACAATTTTACCCCAAGCATACAAGACAATGTGGAGAAACAATGTACCTCAAGTGCTGAAATTTCTGTAGAACTATGCAATTTATAATCAATGCCATACAATTCCATTGAAGTAGAGTAGAAATTTATTACTTTCATTGAATTTTTTTCTAAGTGAACATTTTAATCTCAGTGACTCAAAATCAAAGACACCATCTTAAAAATATAGTATTACGAGAGTTCCAGATACTTTTGTATCCATGATAAATACCATTTATATGCTAACATTTTGATCTTAAACATCTGATTGTTTCTACAGAATATTTCTATCTATAGATATTCATGAATGTCATCATTTTTTAAAGAAGCATTAACCATATAGGTTTAAGAACAACTATACTTGTGTGTTTTTTCTTCCTTATTTCTTATGGTACTACAAAATCCAGTCATAAAATGTTGCACCTCTGTGGTAGAGACTCAGTATACCCACAGGCCTGAGATGAATGAGTCTAGAATCTGTAGAGGCCACAAAAGCCACATATCCGGAAAATGTTGTTACAATTAGCACTCTAGGAGGCTGAGGCGGATGAATGGTTTGAGCTCAGGAGTTCCAGACGAGCCTGAGCAAGAGCGAGACCCATCTCTACTAAAAATAGAAAAACTAGTTGGGCACCCAGGCACCTGTCATTCAGCTACTCAGATGCTGAGGCAAGAGGATTGCTTGAGCCCAAGACTTTGAGGTTGTTGTGAGCTATGACCCTACAGTTCTTTACCCAGGGCAACAGAGTGAGACTGTCATGCACAAAAAAAAAAAAAATAAATAAACTGTTATAGCAAAAAATATAATGCTATTAAGAGATGTAGCAGCAAAAGGGAACATTAAGAAATATCCACTAGGCTGGGCGTGCTGGCTCACATCCGTAATCCTAACACTCTGGGAGGCCAAGGCAGGTAGATTGCCTGAGCTTACAGGTTCAACACCAGACTGAGCTGTGAGACCTCATCTCTAAAAATAGCTGGGCATTGGGGCTGGTGCCTGTAGTCCCACCTACTTGGGAGGCTGAGGCAAAAGAATTGCTTGAGCCCAAGAGTTTGAGGCTGTGAGCTATGATAGCACAGCACTCTACCAAAGGTGACAGAGATGCTGTCTCAAAATAAATAAGTAAATAAATAAGAAATATCCACTAAAAGTTTAAAAGTTTATTTTTAAGGAGATAACAGAATCTGCTTTATGTGAGTCAACGTTTGTGACCATCACAAAAAATATGAGTACAAAATTTAACCTCATACTTGTCACATTTCTAAAAGAACTGAATTGGTATAGCAGCACGACAACCATACTGTAAAAAGTAGTTCCGTTTGGAGAGAGATGAATAAAAAAACAATAATGTGCAGAAGTAAGGTGAAAGCAGCTGAAGAAGTGGGCTCTGTGGCTGCATGTGCAGGGTAGACAGGGTGCAGCAGGGTCGGGGGGCAAGGCGGGTACCAATGACAGGGCAGACAGGGCAGGGTGGGCGGGGCTGACAAGGTGGGGGGGGCAGGGAGGGCACCAAGGATAGGGCACGGGGGCAAGGCGGGCAAGATGGACAGGGCAGACAGGGCAGGGGAGTGGGGCGGACAGGGCACAGTGGGCGGGGCAGGCACGATGTACAGGGCAGATAGTGCAGAAGGCGGGCACGACGGACAGGGTGCAGGGGAGCCTACCGATGGTGCAGTGCTCTCCGTTCCATCCCTGGCTGCACTCACACTTGCCGTCCTTGCAGGTCCCATGCTCAGCACAGCGGGGGTGACAAGCTCTCTGGTTACATGCGGGGCCTGTCCAGCCTTCTTCACAGCGGCAGGAGCCCCCCATGCAAACGCCATGGGAGCCGCAGTCCACGGAACAGATTTCTACATGGGGAAAGAGGAAGCCGCAGGAGACAAAAGTAGCAGGAGTGAGAAGGGGCATGATCAGCAGACCCACGTCTTCAATTTGTTAAAGTGAAAAACAGAATCATTGAAAAGAAGCCAATAGTATCTGTCTACTAATTTCAGCATTGCTTATTCAGCATTACCAATGATAGAATTTCATATCTTTATTCATCATTTAATTTTACAGGATGCTGTAATCATACATGAAATACATATACAATCATGCATTATTTTTTACTTTGTACAGAAGATATTTTATTCAGAAAACATCACAGAGAGAATAATCATATAAAGTTAACTATATTAGGCTGAATGGGGTGGCTCACACCTGCAATCTAGGCACTCTGGGAGGCCGGTGTGGGAGGATCCTTTGAGGCAGGGCGTTTGAGACCAGTTTGAGCAAGAGAGAGACCCTGTCTCTACTAAAAATAGAAAAACTAGCCAAGGTGGTGGTAGGTGCCTGCAGTCCCAGCTACTCAAGAGGCTGAAGCAGGAGGATCGCTCAAGCCCAGGATTTTGAGGTTGCTGTGAGCTAGGCTGAAGCCATGGCCCTACTCAGGGTGACAGATAAGAGAAATAAATAAATAAATCAATAAATTTAACTATACTAACACTTTTTGCTGAAGATTGTAGGAAACCCGCATTCTCTCATAGGCTAACTTTAAACATGGTCTTCAGGGCACTAAGAGTTGTAGTATTTCTTATAGGATACATAAGAGTATTGTTGGTAGCCAAGAAAACATGTACCCTCTACCCCAATTAATGAAGTATTTCAGTATCTAAGCATTGTAGGACTTGGGTCTCATACATATGGCAAGAACTGAAAACAGATTACTTACAATGGTGCGTGTAATCCGGAAACCTTTATTAAGAAGAGTATTATAGTAAGTACTCTAGCTTGCTTCAGTAAGTTGTGAACCTCACAGACAGGCTGGTTAAATAAAACACTTTTTTTTTCCTATTCAGTACATCTATACTAGTGATAGATACAATTTTTTTTTTATTAGACATAAACTTTATGGACAGGCTGTATATAATATTGACTCTATCACCTGAAAAACAAGGTTTCTCACCTGCCAGAGTTACTGAAGGGAGCACAAGTGACCAGATAACTTCAAACACCCTAATACCAGGTAAGGTCTTTGGAAAGAATTCAGACATCTCAAATAAATTTTCAAAAAATTTTCTTAACAGCTTTATTACACTACAGTCAGTTGAGAAGAAGGAAGACAGACAGGGAGAAGGAACTTTGAGGGTTATTTCATTTTTTATTCTTCTTATATAAAGTTAACTAGATTAGTAATTTTTGCCTGGGGTTATAAGACTATCATTTAGCTTTGGCTTTCTTGCAAAAAAAAAAAAAAACAGAACAATACAAATCTGAAATCATTTCTAACATACAACAAGTATACTAAGCCTTTTTTAAAAAATTAAAAAATACTAATTGTTGATGTAGTCATATGTTCTTGTTCCTTGGGGAATTCTCTTACAGGTTAACTTTAAACATGGTATTGAGGCACTATGAAAGTTGTAGTATTTCTTATAGACATCATCCATGACTATTAACCAGAAGAAAGTAGCACGTGGTTTTTTTTTCCATGCACATTTTCTATCTCTTTTGAATTAAATTTTTGATTAAGAGATCCCAGATAGTTTGATTAACTTCAGAGCAACATAACATCAACTCGGCTCCAGAAGCAAGAGGTTTCTTTCCGAGCCCCTCCTTTTTATTCAATCTAATCAATTTTTCATTAGGGCGAAGGTGTTTATCAGCCTCTAGCACACTAGCTTTGAGCAAGGTGCGTCAATCTTAGTAATGAACTTATTAATTAGAGTTAATTTAATTGGAGTGGAATTGAAGGGATAATTAATGGACAAACTGCTGATGAAGACAGAGGAGGGCTCTGTTGCTTTCAAACCTATAAACTTCCTGGTGGATATAATTCATTTCTTCTTTGTTAGCAGCTTATCCAAATGTTTCTTCAGTTGTAAGCTCCACTCTCTTATTGAATTTAGATATCTCAAGGTCATTTCCACAACAAAAGACACAGTGAGAAATGTGCTTTCCTTTAGGATTCATTTAGTTAGAAATTGAGAATTATGCTGCTTGTAAACTTTAAGCCACAGATGTAAATGAACAACAGTGTTTTTATAAATAATGAGAACCATGCAACAGCCAGATAAATTTGAGGCATGTGAGACCAGATATTTTTACAGGGTGAACAAAAGCATATTAAAGATTTTGACTACTAATTCTACATCAGTTTTCTATCTTTCTGTAGCTTACAGCAAAGTTTAATAAGATTTTTTTCCTATACTTACTTTCCTTAGAAGACAAGTACTGTATTTGCTGTGCTACTCTATATACTGAGAGTTTAATATATCCTAAATTTCCCTTTGGCACTGAGGGTACCAAGATGCATAGGACAAAAATCTTCACTCACTATGACCAAATAGTCATTTAATACACAGGTACGATCAGATTATTAACTAGCAAAATAATTAGAGCAGCATAATAGAATTTAGTCTAAATATGTAAAACAGTGATATGTGATTTTGGCAGCCAATTTACTCTTTTAGTTAACATTTATGTCTTTGTTTTGCTATTCATAGTAATATTTTATGAACAGAACTGAATTAGCTTTTGTGCTATTTAGTATCAATTACAAACTACCCTTTATAAAATAATTCAGGTAATATATTTTAATAACTTCATGTGAAACAAAAAATGGGCTATTACGCTTCTTCCTCTCCTGCACGGATAACTGTGGGAAGCAAAGCAGGATGGCAACGCAAAGCAAGTCCTGTTTTATAGCTGGTGGGCTTGTTTGACAGAGGGACCTGAACCGAGGAGCTTTACTGTATCAGTAATTATCTCTATGAAATTTAATTGGGTATTTTTTGTGGAAAGGGCTTTTTAGTGTAGATAAAAATGCAACAGAAATAACTAAATGCTTATTTTGATTCTTGTAATTACAAGATATATTTCTGAAGAGCAGAGGACAAAAGAAGGTAATGTGTTAATGTGCCCAGGCTTGATGAACGCTGGGTGGTGATGCTTCCCACTCCTCGGTGAGCATCCAAGGCCTTCTCTCATCCAGACTGCAGTTTACGTTTCTACTCTTATTTATCCTATAAATGTTATTTGCTCCAGCAGACATGAATTTTTAACCAAAGTTTGTGGTTTCCCACACTATTCAACAGTATATGGCTAAAAGATAAGGGAGGAAGAATAAAATGAGAGGAAGGGAGGGGAGAGAGAGAAGGAGGGCAGCAAGGAGAGAAATGAGCAGGGAGGGGAAAGGACAAAAGCTTGTCTTTTCAGTACTGTATCTAGTTATAGGTTGAATAGAAAATTTTCATCAATATTACAAAGTAGCCTCCAGAAAACTTTGTTTAGTGTAGGCTTCTAGGATTCAGTTTGTAGTAGATGAAGGTGGCAGATAAATCTGTCATGCTAATATTGATTCATAAGGAAGCAGAGGTGTCATTTACCTTTCTAAAAAGGCAAGGAAACAGCAATTTGTAAAAATTACTAGTCTTTTTTTCTCCTTGCTAAACCAAGTGGATTAGCAACCTTGCAAGATTTCAGTTAGCCTTACGCCATCAGGTAATACCAATAAACAGCATGCATCTTAAAAATCTTACATGTGGCGACTATATCCAGTCAAGAGTTTTATGTGGAAGCTCCTGTGACTAGATGAGGAGTTAGGCATGACAAGCTACGCGGAGCCATCCTTTAGAGTACTTCTACCAAGCTTACTGACATCACTGCCACCGAGACTTCTATTAACGCTTAATATGTATTGAGTACTTGCTGTATACAACACTATTCTAAGTGCTTTTCATGTATTAACTCATTTAAATCTTACCACAATTCCATAAAGTAGCCCTACTATTAGCCTCCTTTTAGAGACAAAGAAACCTCGGCACAGAGAAGTCAAATAACTTGCTTGCTGTCTTGGGGCTAGTAAATGAGCAGTCCAAAAACATGACTGGGCAGTCTGGCCTTCGAGGCCATGTTCTTAACCGCTTAACTATGGAATACCAGGTTGGGAGGTGGGGACAATGACACTGGGCAGGACAGCAGCTAGTACACCCCTCACTAAATCTCAGCTTCATGCAGAATGTCTTTATTTGTTCACTGTTGCTAGTCCCATGTGTCCTTTCTCCTGTTTCTCCTTTATCTAGCTGCTGATCCTCCCTCCGTTATTCTCCTCTTTCTCATTTTTCTTCCTTTTTCTGATTTTATATTTTTCCTCTTTTCTATTTCAAACACCTCATCTATCGCCTCCCCAATGTCCTGCCTCTCCAGTCAGCCTCATCCTTTCCCGGCTTCCTCACCTCGTTTAGAGATATTAACATTAACCCCAAGTCCCTTTGTTTTATACTTACAGGTCTTCTCACCAAACTCTATACAATATATCCCTTTCATTTCTATTGTCTCCGGGCAAATCCATTGCTTCCCTCACTGTTCCTAAGTCTTCTGACTTGCCTTTTAGCCTCCAAAGTGTCATTGTTAACCCTCTCAATGTGTATCACTTTGTAAAACGCTTGTTTCAACTATGTGAGTGTATGTCTGCACACATGCACAAGGTCACAATGTGAAAATGTATTTCAGACTGTAGATTGTGGTCAAAAAATTTGAAAACCATTGCTTTTAAGGGCAAGTTCCATCTTGCTATTCTTTTATTCTTATAGGACCTGTAACAATGCACTTTAGTGTTTGATAACAACTTCTTGATTGAACAAGACTACTACTTGCCATTTCTATTCTAATCATATTATAAAGATTAAAAACTCAGTGTTGAACCAATATACATATTATTCTATCTTTATTCTGATCATATTGAGCCTCACATATATATTTTTATATTGAGGCATCTCTGTTTATAAGATAATGTGCTTAAGACATAAAACTGTACTTAGGCCTACAGAGAGGCTAGTTGCTATTAGTAGTTCAAGAAAATGAAAGTTAAGAAGATAGGGCATCTTACGCAAATGAAAAATTATTCCTCCCAATAATGCTAAAGGGGAATTTTTTTTCTTTTGGCAGTTTTTGGCTGGGGCTAGATTTGAACCCACCACCTCTAGCATACAGGGCCGGCACCCTGCTCCTTGAGCCACAGGCACCGCCCTCTAAAGGGGAAATTTTAACGACAAATTGGCTAAGCCTGTTTCTTTCCTTTTACTATAACTATATTTGAACACTTTTAATATTTGTCTCTATAATCGCATTACTAAAATTTGTATTGTTTAATAAGTGTATTTTAAAAATTACACTATCATCTTTAGCTAAATAATATTACGCATTTAGCTCTACTGTATGTGTTAACCTCACCATTTGAACAGTCTGGGCCGGTCCAGTTAGGGTCACAAGTACAGGAGCCACTCTCTTGAAGATATGTCCCATGACCGGAACACTGATCTGGACACATGGTCTTCAGTATTTCACAATTGTTACCACCCCATCCTGGATTGCAGTGACATTCCCCATGGATGCACACACCATGATTAGAACATCCGGGGTCTAGACAGTCAGCTAGTGTAAAGAAAAAAATAACACATTTTATTAAATCTAGAAGACACCACAGCACCTGCAGGATAAAGAATTCAACCCTAATCTAGTGAACATTTTTGAATAATCAAATATTTACATACCATTTCAAGCACTTGTTTCTGAAAATGCAAAGATTGGTAATACAATAAAGCATTAAGGACCAGTCCAATGCCATTTAGGTAATTGGAACTCTTGTGAGGATTTGTAATTTTCATGAATTGTGCACACAGGCACTGGAGGTTTCAGACTTTTGCTCTCTTTTGCCTAATTAGGGGCTTATAAGTATTGCCTTCTCTATAACCAAATCTGCATTGGCTGACCTAATCCATGGCCACTGCGTACTGACAGCTCTATGGGACCCTCAGACTGTTTGAGAAATAAATGAGTTGCACACTCTCTATCCTTCTTAATTCTCTTTAATGTGCTTTAGATGACAAGATTTAATTTAGCAATTTGACTCAATAAAACTTTACACTTGTAGGGTCAATGGCCTGAAAATTTAATTCCAGAGACTTAATTGCATTACTTTGTGTGTGCAGATCAATAAAATCAATTTGATTGAAGAACGGAAATGGTGCTTTTTTGCTTTTTGAGAAAACAATTAACTACGTTTTATAATACAGTATCTTGATTCTCATCACTGCACATAGAGAGACATGGAACACTTCCACGATGGCGTACTTTTTTTCACTTGCATATTATGCTCAATATTCTGTCTTCTAGAGATGCTAAAATCCTAGATTTAGAAGCTGCCATCAATGTGCAAAACAATAAAAAGAAAAATATAATCAACAATCAACGGTTGGTTTCAAGCCACAGATGTTTTCTTATTTCTCAGAGTGTAAAAAAAATAATCATGCTACTGAAAAAGAGCAAAAGGGGCTTTTTGGTATTTGTTCTTTTTATTAGTTAAAATGCTAATGAGACAATGCATTCATGAACCTGGAAATAAAATTACTTTCCTAAAGAAGCATATACAAAGGGGTTCATCTGCCAAGCTAAGGATTACAGGTATAATCTGTTTCTTTATGAAGATAACAACAGACTTTTATAAATATTGACATGTTTACCTTCCTCACAACTTTCTCCTTTGTATCCTGAGTTGCAAGCACAAGAGCCCATGATACAAATCCCACGACCCCCACACTGCGGGTCAATGCACTGAGTCGTCGGCACGTCACACTCGGTGCCCTTCCAGCCGCTGAAGCAGAGGCAGCGTCCCTTGGAGTACTGCCCGTTGCCACTACACAACACTGGACAGGCTGCTGTGAAATAAAACACGACAGAAGAATTAACAGTCACATTTTCCACCAAGATTCCAAAAGAAAAGACTTTCCCCCTCCTTTCCTTCTTGTTTTGATAGTTTTCTGAATTACTTGTGTCTCTACAGCTTCTTCCTTTTGGCTTAAGAAAAGAATCTCACTTGCATACCTCGTGCACAATCTGGACCCAGAAATCCTGGAAAACAATGGCAAGTTCCAGAAACACACTCTCCATTTCCATGGCAATTTCGGGGGCATTCCACCACAGACTCTGAAGAAAAGAGAAAGAAGGAACACTTGTATTGCCTGCCTCTTGCAAAAGATAAGCAAAAGATCAGCAGTGTCACTTTGATCCTCATCCACACCAGATCATTCCAATAGCAAAGCAAAGGATTGTCGCTTTGAGTGCAGATTTTTTAAAACTGTTTTTATGATGCACTCTCCTCTCCCAAAGTTAATTACAGATATTTTCTTCAAGGGCTTCATGGGTTTGGTCACATATTCTCCCATAAACAGTTTGAAAATATTTCTCACATTTGGGCTTCAATACACCCAAGAGTCACCCCAAATTGGTAAACATCAGATTCTAGTCAACACAGTTTTAGGCTGGAAACCGCTCTTTTGAATATTGTTCTTACCTATAACAATGGTATTAAAAGACACCTGCTCTGTATTTTTCCCGTCGTTATAAAAAGCCAGATGCCAGATTCCAGAATCCAAGTATTGGATAAAGCCAGCCTCATGCAGGCTGATGGATCTGGCCTGCCGTCCTGCCCTTTCTGATTCCAGCAGGTTCCGCTGCTCTCGTGCAATCAGTCTGCTGCCATCCAGGAGCTCCACGAAGTCATACTGGGAGGAGGGGGTGTGAGCAAAATCTTGTCAGTGGTCAGAAATTCAACACACATTTGCGCGAATAAATCAATGTTAGTCAAGTTCCAAACTGAGAGGTCCAAATGATGGAGGTTTTCCCGGCATAGCATTTGAGGAGATGAGGTAAACCACCCATCACAACTGTTGCACAGAAACCTCACAGGTCACTTTTTACCTTATTGGGCAATCTGGTTTCTAAATGTATTCCATTCTCCTGATTAAAAAAGTGTGCGTTTTAGGTAGTTTGGGGATACAAACATAAAATCTATGTAAACTTGTATTTCAAATCTAACAAGCTTATTCTAATGTAATTTTTTTCAATATAGCATAGTTGTACATATTTTTAATCAGGGTGACTGGGATCGTCTTTTTCTTGTGTTGGGAACATTATGTATCTTCTAGCAATTTTAACATATAAATAATTTATTAATTATAATTTCCCTACTGTACTATTGAGTAGTACAGTAACTTCCTTCCTTCTAGCTCTATGTTTGTTCTTCTTAACTAACTGCCTTTCTCCCCCCACCTCCTCCTCTTCCCAGCCTCTGATGATCACTGGGGGCTACTCTCTGCCCCTTTGAGATTCACTTTCTTAGCGCCTACACTTGAGTGAGAACATGTAGGACTTTGTCTTTCTTGTGCCTGATTTATATCACTTAACATAATGACCTCTGCTTCCATCCATGTTGCCAGTGGCCTTATTTTACTTAGACCATTAGATAATCTCGTAAAGTCTTCTCCCATTTAACACTCACGTCGTAATATTTTTAATACTTTAATACTGTTTAATATTTACTCTGTGCTGGGATTATTTGTAATCCTCATAAAAATCCTTTTAGAAAGATATTAATGTTTAAAGACAAAGGAAATTGAGACTTCACCTGGGGTCAACTACCCGGTTGGTGATGGAGCTGGTACGTGAACTCAAACGCACTTGGCTCCAAAGCTGGGGTCATTTCCATCACATCACTGTGTGACTTTCTGACCACCTCAACCACCACTGAGACATGCACAGTGTTTACTCAGTTACTTAGTTACAGTTAGAGTAAAAACTCACACCACGGGACATTTACATCTTTGGTCAAAAGTCTAAAAGATTTAACAGTGGAAGGGTCCTAAAAGAATGGCAATAGTAAATGCGCCCAATTACTAATATGAAGTCAGTCATTAATGATACATCTTTAGTGAGATTAATCACGAATGCTGGGTGGCTGTAAGAATAAAACTGGAGAATTTAAAAATGAATTTTAAAAATATGACATGTGAAGGGTAACAGAGGGGTAAAATTTTATAACCAACGATATAATATGGTAAACTTGGAATACACAGAAAAGATTTTTCAGCGTAGTTCCAAGGCACTTTTCAGATAACACTTTCTTAGAAGCATAGTGATTTAGGCTGGGGGAAGTGGCTCACACCTGTAATTCTAGCACTCTGGGAGGCCGAGGTGGGTGGATTGCTTGAGCCCAGGAGTTCGAAACCAGCCTGAGCAAAAAGCAAGACCCTGTTTCTACTAAAAATTGAAAAACTTAGGCAAGAGGATCGCTTGAGCCCGAGTTGGAGGTTGCCATGAGCTATGATGCCACAGCACTCTATCTAGGGTGAAAGCGTAAGTCTCTGTCTCAAAAAAAAAAAGAAAGAAAGAAAAAAGAAAAAGAAAAAAAGCATAGTGAGTCAGATTCTAAAGACTACTACCCAACTTTATTCCAGAGAGACATATTTATGGTGAAAATTACACTATATTACTATATATAAAAATTATCATTATTATAGTACTATACATGTAAATCCTCAATATTCTACTTTTCAATAGATTCCTTAAATGGAATTTCATCAGAGGTCTATTTAAGGAAAAGATTACTATTATACATGAATCTCTTAATCCAATCAAGCTGAGATAAAACCAGTTTTTGGGATTTCTGAGAATCAGTTAAATAAGTTGTACCGTAATGATCATAGATGTCTATGGTTATTATGGAATAGAATTCAGAATAATCTAAACTGCTTTCTGGCTTATTAAAATTTTTATTTGTCAGCACAAGCATTATTAGTGTAGTGATACATTACAACCTCATTCAACTGTGAAAAATACACTGCCCCCAAAAAAACTTAATTAGCATTCAAAATTTTTTAAAATTTCTATCTTACAGGGATGCAAATAATGACTAGTGCGGTCACCTGACTTGCAAATATTTCACTGTAATTCTACTCTAAAATTATCAGTGGAAAATAAATTCAGCAGTTTTGAAATACGTCTCTACCGCAAGCCATTCATTTCCTCATCAGACTTAATCTTTATGTTAGTATGGCAAAGAGACAGGAAAACGTTTCTTCTTACAACCCAATGCATATAAACAGTCTTCTCCCTTCACAAAGCACATTTAAACTAACTGAAAGAGGGAAAAGGAGGGAATTTTGAATGTTAGCTATTCTTTCAAGGCAAAATCACAACAATCACCTTTATCACAGAGGTCACCCCTTGCAGCACCGTGAACAGTGAGATGCATCTGGGGAGGTGGGCATGATGCTGGGGCAGGGGAGCAGGCAGCAGGCTCTGAGTGCCCGCGTCCAGGCTCTTCTGTAGGGGGCCTATCACACATCACTTCAGGAAAGCTATTCAAACACCTGAAGAAAAGTCCCTACTAAACACTAAAACTTCTACCCCAAATAACTAGATTTATATGGAATACAAATATTTAACAACATTTGTTCTTAAACTGTAAAGTTATTACTCAAGGGCAAACCAAACTTGAGTTTTGCTTTATAATATTTATTCACAAATGGAGACAAGGATTTTTGGGGGGTGGGTGGGGAAGAAGTCTTAGGATCTTATGTTATTTTTAGAATAAAATTTCTTGGGCTAACTCTTTAGACACATTACTTTGGGGGAGCTATTGTGAGACAGAGCTCATACTTGATAGAAGTTTCATATAAATTGGAACTCAGTGTAAAAGCTCCCTTTGAAGGTAACTTTCTTATTATTTAATATTACCAAATATGCATGCTTTAAAAATCCTCACTGAAAGTTGCTTTAAACTACAATGTATTAACAAAGTCCTCTGTAAAATCAATAGGTTGCCCATGTTTGTTTTCTTTATGATGATTATGTAATAGACCACTTAAAAACACAACTAGATTTTTAAAAAAGTATCTTAGGTTTTACTTCAGAGTGATTAGAAAATCTATATGCACAATTCAGTTGTTATTAAAATGATGAAAACTCTGACCCATAAATACTTAACTGTGGCCTTTAATCAACTTTTTGCAGATAGCAGAATGTTGCTGTAAATCATTAGAACAGAGAAGGAAGAGATTTTTGGGATGATCTCCAGCTCTGTCATTTTACCAATGGAAAAGTGAAGTCAAAGTCAAACATTGGTAAGGGCAAATGTCCTTAGGGTTAAATGATTTTTTTTCTTCTGAGTAGATACCTAGTGGTGGGACTGCAGGATCAAACAGAAGGTATACTTGAGTTTTTGGAGAATTCTCCATACTTCTTTCTAAAAAAGCTGCATTAGTTTGCTGTCCCACCAACAGTGCATAAGTGTTCCCTTCTCTCCACATCCACGCCAGCATCTGCAGCTTTCCAATGTTTTCAATACTAATATGAAAATGGTAAATGAACAATGATAGAGTCACATGAGAGAAAAGTTAAATTCAATAAGGGGGCAACTGGTAAGCTCTCACCTAACAGGCATGATGTAGGGGTATATGGCACACCTCTTGGGTGAAGGGCTCAGCTACAAATTGGACTTTACCTAACAAATGCAAACAATGGAACCTAATCATATGTATCCTTATATTAATATGGGGGGGGATAAGTGTGTGCTTGGAACCCTGGTTTCTGGTGCCTGTTTGCACTAACAGGCCCTTACCTGGGAAGAACTGAGATGCTCTCTTAGGCCTCTGCCTGTCTAGGAGGATGAACGGGGCATTGGAGAAAAGCAAGTAATAGATCCACTGGCAATGATCAAAAGTTTTATAGAGTCACAAAGACTTTCCAAATTTGCATGACTATTCCGAATGGCTGCAATTTTAATTATTTCAGGTTGATTTGTTTAATGTCCCCCAGAAACAGAGAAATGTTAAATTTGGGCTGCTTTATGGAATATTTCATGTTTAAAAACTGGACTCAGAAAGAGCTGTTTGCTCTGCTGATCTTGAATAAACCAGAGGCAGAAACTATAATAACTATGAAGTTTTGGAAAATGCATAACCTAGTTAAACACAGATGTTGTGGCTGAAAAAGGGACATCACATGTGTTTGGTTTAAGCACCAAAAGAACTATGAAGAAGACTGAAACTGCACCTTTGATTTCTGTAAGATTTCTATATGCTATCTTCTGTCGAAGAAGACAGAAGACGCTATGGACAACTGCCAAAGAGTCAAACCTAAATCTTTTTTATTAAATCATAACTGTGTATGTTAATGCATTTATAGGGTACAATGTGCTGATTTGATAAACAATGTGGAAAGCTTATATAAAATTAACAAAACCATCACCTCACTTACTTATTTGTTGAATAAGACATTTATACTCTACTCTTAATAGTTTTGAAATGATTGTAATGGAAGTTTTAGCCATCACAATCAGGGAAGAAAAAGTGATCAAGGGTATCCAGATGATATGATTGTATATCTGGAAGATACCAGGGATTCTACTACTAAACTCTTAGAAGTAATCAAGGAATACAGCAGTGTCTCAGGTTACAAAATCAACACTCATAAATCAGCAGCCTTCATATACACCAACAGCAGCCAAGCTGAAAAAATAGTCAAGGACTCTATCCCATTCACAGTAGTGCCAAAGAAGATGAAATATTTGGGAGTTTACCTAACAAAGGATGCGAAAGATCTTTATTAAGAGAACTATGAGATTCTAAGAAAAGAAATAGCTGACAATGTTAACAAATGGAAAAACATACCATCCTCATTGCTGGGAAGAATCAACACTGTTAAAATGTCCATACTACCCAAA